CCAGTCCTCATGGCCCACCAACAGTCCAGGATTTATGTATTTCCCTTGTTTTATTCAAATGGAGATACTAACAAAACCTGGACTGTTGGTGGGTCTTGAGGAGTGGTTTGAGAACCAATGGTCTTGTGGCTGTCTGATAAACAGCCACTAGAGGAGGACTTAAAAACTGCAATAATTACACTTGCAGGGTTAAGGGTGATGGGAGTTGGCACCAGGACTACTCCAATGGGCAGAAGTGGTCTGAGTGCCTGGAGTGTCCCTTTAAACCACATCTAAAATACATATATTGAAAATGAATATCTTTATATAAGAGATTTTGAACCTAACATTTTACCATGGATAGTAAAATGTTAGGTTCAACATCTCTTATATAAAGATAATTTTCAATATATGTATTTTAGATGTTGGATTGATTCTTTTGTTGTCCTGAAACAATAATAATAGAAAATATATAATGGGGGAGGCGGGGGGCATAAATAAACTCCTGTTGTTAATTAAATTAAAAACCAAATAATGCGTATTCTAAGGGTGTTCAGGGGTCTGGTGTCGCCCATACACCACTTCAAAAACAAAATAAAAAAGGATTCTTCAGCACATCTTTAATACCTCAGTGTCCTTTTATTAAATTTCACAGCTGATACATACACAAGTAAATGGCACTTCTGTAGAGTTCTAATATAGGATTTTGTGATAATGTGTAGTGGAACTAGTTCCTAGCTTGATATTGACTGATAAATGGTTGAAACATTGTTCTATGCCTGCTGTGCACTTTAATAAAAGGACATTGAGGTATCAAAGACATGTTGGTGCATCTTTTTTATGTTGTTAATGAAATTAAGTCTTTCCAGCATAATATAATTGGAAAATTCCTGAATTTCATTACAATCAGGAGGCTTCGTATTATTCTGGTTTAAAGCACAGATAATATTCTATGAAATACAAGAGCAATAGTTTAAAATAAAATCTTTTAAAAGTCGAATCATTAGATCGATCTGCTTCTTTCATGATATCTTCCAATCTCTTCCCATATATAAAAGCTTTGGAAGATATATGGATGTATTTGTATCTGATAAAATCCATTGGATCCATCTTGCTAAAGTGTCAAAGATATTGAAAGGCATGGTTCTTTTAAATTAAATTTGTAACCGAATATTAATATGTTTTAAATTTTGTGTTTTTGTTTCAATATCATTTTTTATCACTCTTTATAAATAAGGAAATTCGGGATGAAAAACTAAACAGACGTGCGTTGCCCCGACAGCAGTGGCAAGAGGATAGGCATACAAAGGTAAACAGCAAAGGGCAGTAGATAATATAGCACAATTATGTTTGTGGATAAGAAGTTTCACATGCATAAGATGTTTCAACAGTTAAAGGACCACTATAGGCACCCAGACCACTCCAGCTCAATGAAGTGGTCTGGGTGCTAGGTCCATCTAGGGTTAAACCTGCAGCTGTAAATATAGCAGTTTCAGAGAAACTGCTATGTTTACATTAGGGTTAATCCAGCCTCTAGTGGCTGTCTCATTAACAGCGGCTAGAGGCGCTTCTGCACTTCTCACTGTGAAAGTTCCGTTAGCGTAAGCGCTTAATTTTAGTATCCCTGGGTGCGCCGTCGTCCCCTTGCCTAGGAGATCGTCGGCATCGGTCTGGGTGAGCAAGTGGCCCGGGTTTATATATATGCACCTTAGGTCGGATAGTGTTTGAAAACTGCCAGTTTGTCTCCATGGTCTTCCCTGCCTAACTCCCTGCACTGTCTTATGATTTGTCCTGGTACATCTCTAGAGATCTGTCCATTCCCTTACTTGGGTTTGAAAAATGTAAACACTTTTGCATCTCAGCTGGGTGTATCCCATACTGTACTAGCAAGTGATGAAGTAAGTGAAAGGCAACGTTCGACACTCCAGATGATGCTTTGCCAGCATCAAGGATTATCGAGCATCGAGCATTATTTGAGATGCAGTCCAGAACATCTAGTATGCCTAATGATGTCTCCCCCTGATCTAAGGTATTCAATGGGTGACGTAGTATCTCTGGATGGAACATGGGTTTATCATCTGCAGTAATAGAAAATTATCTATTTCTGTTTCGTTTTCAGAGTCTGGTTTAATATCAATGACAATATGATCATTGTAGTGTCACTATCTGAAGATTGGAAAGAATCAGGTAGTTGTCTACGTATGGTAGTAATTTTCAGAATAACGTCCTCCCAAACAGAGGGTCTATTATGTGTACCAAAATTACACTGGTTTGGGTTGCAGCTTTGTGGCATGTTATCGTGAGAGATAAATCTCTCTTGGTCATGCAAGTTTTCCTTTTTTTTTTTTACGTTATCTAGTGTATCACATCGCCTAAATGTTTTTGTTTCATAGACACTTTACCTGACTTTGGAATTTATTTCATATGTATAGAACTTCCAGGATGTTCATCAATTCTGGTTTCTGAAGGAGAAAGGAGACCTTCACTGCCAGTAATTTTGCTACTAGAATCAGACATTTTTATAGCTGTGAAAAACACCTTAGACACGTTCTCATTTACAAGGGCTCCAATTATCATCTGAAACTGATCCTCATCCAATTTATTGTTTTCCCTTCTATTTTGAGAATATTTTTAAAAACTAGATCTGATAGATCTATCTGAATTAGGCGATAAGGATATTTTCAATATTCTTTGTAAGTTATTTAAAATATTAATCAGAAATTAACTAAACATATATATATCCTAAATATAGAACTGTTTTGACTATTACATTTTATTGGAATTAAACTGAATAATACTTTTAACTGAATATTATGTTTTAAAAAAACTACAAGAGTGAAAAAGCGATGGAATTAATGAATTACTTTTCTGGGAGAAGCAAAGAAAGTGGAAGATAGTCTTACCAGTTATTTTATAATAAAATAATTATTTGTTTATAGATCACAGAGAAAGAGAAGACGTCCCAGGAAATCTTGTAGCAGAAAAAGGAAGGTAAGTAACAGATTAGTTAATCTAGTTAAGTCAGATTTCTATCAGGAATCCACAGAAGCAGGTAATAAGATGAAATTGAACCAAAGACAAAGAATTTGTGTCTTGTCCAACAATATTAGTCCAATTGGGGGTTACACCAGAGAAGAATCCAGGAGACTTAGGAAAAATGGCGATGGTAAAATCGGTTAAACATGTGTAAAAGGAATCAATTTCCGTAGCCGGGTCACAATCAATAAATTCGTCCGTTATAGGGTAAGTATTAACCCAATGACACCATTATGGCATTCTATGCAGTCCGCAATATAATGAACTGTAAAGCTGTTGTGGTGGCATAGATCACCGTAATGGCTTAGAGCCCTGGAGCTTCAGAAATGTTTACCTTCCCGTCGATCCTTTTCGTGGGATTGACTGACAAATTATCCATCAGTGCCTCTTAAATTTACATGTATATTGCTATCTTAAAGGTACAAAAAATAGGTAAAACCTATCCTGTATCCTGTCTATGAAGGCCTTTTCCCTGTTTCTAGAGACCTGCCTTGAATCTTGTCTTTAGAAAGCCTGCTCCCTGGTTGCAGAAGCCTGCCCTATATCCTGTCTCTTGAAGGCCTGCTCCCTGATGCCAGAGGCCTACTTGGTATCCTATCTCCTGCTCTCTGGATCTTGAGTCTGCTGCCTAGTATCTTGTAGCTTACCTAGTGCCTTATATCCTGTGGATTGCCTGCTACGTTGTATCTGTTGGATTGCCTGCATACTGTATTTTCCTCTTATTTTTTGTTAAACATTTACATTATCTGCATTCTCCTCTAAATGTTAATTTTTTTTCACTTTATCTTACTGTGTTGTGTCTTCATTCTCTGTATATTGGGATCAAACTTACTTTTCATTGCAAAGACAGTCCCAGCAATTTTCTCTGTAAATCCAAGTCTCCCAACAGTCCGATTTAGGTTAGACAGTTCCTGTCTTAGTGTCCAACCCCGCTTCCCCACCTTTGTTTCCTGGTGTACCACTTTTGGGGACAACAGGGAACTGTCCCCAAAAGTGTAGCGATTCATTAGACATTTTTTATTTTATTTTTTCTCACAATCTCCCATTTGCGAGCAAAAGTGCCAGCACTAGGTATAAACTAAATTGCATTCTCTTTCAAAGAGCAAATTTAGTTTTAAAGCATGATGGGTGTCCTTTAAGGCCAAATTAGCCAAAATGGAAATATTCTTTAAGTCAGCTAATCTTTCAGTTTGGCTACAGTTTGACTTTGAATTCTCACTTTAGCAGATAACCCTGCTGGTGTTTTATTATTTTGTTTCCATATTTGTTTTTGCTATTGAGAAGTTATGTGATGTGGCATAGTAACACAACACAACTGCTAATTTCAATATCACTGTGTGACTATATTACAATTAGGAAGACAGCATCAACATTTTTTTTTTTTGTTTGTTTTTTTCCAGAGGAATTTTAATTTGCTAAGAGAGTTGCTACTTTTGAGAAAGTATCCCATTTTAAAATGCGGAAATAATATTAATTAGATATTAATGAGCTTCCTTTCAAATAATTCACGGAGGGTTTCCTTCGACAAAAAAGTAAGCTAGAGTTTCTTTATTACTGCTAATGTTTAATTCCCTCGTTTTCCTTGAGATATTTGTTTTGTTTCTGTGAATTCTCCATTATGTTATTTGCATATGTCCTTGGGGTCTGTTTACCTTGAAGACTCTATTAACATCATGCGGAGATTAAATGAACTAGTCTGTCCTTCAGCCTCAACTTCAAATGGAACAACCATTGTTTTGTCTGACTGCAGGCATTGGCTCAAATTCATTATTGCTACACATAGAAGGAAATTGCCAGTCTTCTGTGAGAATTAACACAAAGGAGCATTTAGACCTATCGATCTGTCTGTGTGTGTGTGTCCATCAGTCTGTTCGTCTGTCTGTCTGTCTATCTCTCTCTATCTCTCTCATCAATCTTAATTTAGTTCTGCATCTTAAGCAAAGTTACTAAACTCTAAATAGAGATCTTTACATTGCATTACACAATATTAAGAAAGACTCTAAGCACCATAACTATTACAACCTGCTATAGTGAATATTGTGCCAGGAGTGCATGTCGTTGTCCCAGCGGAATCTGAATCCCACTGAGTACCTGTGCTGTCTCCAGTCTTCTTGAGAAAGAGAAGCTGGATGCTAATGTATATGTTCATTAATTGGCTGAGAGTGTAAGCTGAGCTCTCTCAGCCAATGAATGGGTTGAACAAAACTACCATCAGGCTTCTCCAGCCCTGAGAAGACTGGGCACAGTGCAGGTGCCCCACAAGACTCAGGCAAATGTTAAACCATGGAAAACCGGTTTTACAGATTATACAGGGACAGCCCCAGAGCACTCTGGCGCCATACTAACCATAACGGTCTGTAGTGGTTATGGTGCTTAGAATATTCCTTTAAATGCCTCTTAGTAGCATAGCACTCTCTCAGTGATATGCAAGTTATTTAGTTGTGTCAAAAATGCAATTAGTTTTCCACCAAATTTCTGGGTATTCAGCAAGCTATACTAACAGTTTATAATTATCATCATATCTGCCTTACGTAATTGTAAATCTGTAGATCATCTTTAGCAGAAAATAAATTGCTGATCGATCTTGGAAAATGAATAATAGCTGCGCAAGTGAACTGTGGTCTTTCTACACAATAATGAAAAACAATAATGTTGATGGTGTTTGGACAATTAATTGGCAATGTTTCAGGTTATTCTGCAGAAATGGTCATCTCTGGTCAGCTTGCACCTGTTATTCATTCAAATTTGCTTAATTAGAAGATTCGCAACACAGCGTCCACCTCTGCATTGTCTTTTTTATTTTATTCATCTTATGCCTCACTTATGTTTCATAAGGCATTATTACAGTTTTTAAGGCTAAAGAGAACATCCACATGCATTAAGCACTTTAATTGCTGAATAGAGACTGGGATTTTAAAAAATGAGCCTTGTTACACCTCCCCTCTCCCCCACTCCCTTCACGCAGTTAATCAGTTCACAGGCCTTTTTACTTCCTGGTAGTTTAGCTCAGTGGAGCTTAAGTTATAAAGCAGCAATGGCTCAAACTTTTAATTGAGTTGCTTTGTGAAATATGTGATTGGACAGCCACAGGAAGTCAGGGCTAGGTTAGAAGGGGAGGACTTTCAAAGGACACATAGAAGAAATCTGCAACTTTTGCAAGTTGTTTTTAGATATCCCCTATCCGGTATTTTATATCTTGAAGGCATCGATATTGGACCTGCATTTAAAGGGGACTTCACCCAAGAAGGGTTGACAAGCGTATTTTGCACAATTAGAGATACATATCTCTTTGTGCCATGTGTATTTTAACTGTTTTGTACCATATTGTTATTAAATACTTCACCATGCATGCTTTTTATTCTATTTCTTCCATGTTCATCTCAATATATACATGGTAAATATATGCATGTTTTGTGACTGTGGCGCCCCCATTGGTATATGTTTTTTAAACTATACTGCCTGTATATTTGCTGAACCTCTAAATCAAGCAAAATTATTTTGGTCCATTCTCAATGTACTCTTTATTATTTTTAAATAATTTACATGTGACGAGGGCCTCTCCAAAAATCTAAAGGGTAAATTAGATCTTGCTCTCTTGCACATTGTGCGTAGATGAGTACAATCTGCACTTCACTAATTAGACCCAGTGAATGCTGAAACAGTCATACGTGATTGCTGCATTAGTTGTGCAGAAGGGATCTTTGGCTCTTAATGAGAGAATAAAAAGAAATATAACGACACCTTATCTTTTTCAAATTCATTTTTCCAAATAAGTCATTTTCAAGTGAATTGTTTATCATGAACACCGTCTTGTTCATAATTTATATCTGTTTTTGTCTTCTTTTATTTTTTTTCGTTTGAACTCTCAGAAAATTGTGTTTATTTTGACAAAATTCATGTGTTCTTTTATTGCTGTTTGGAAAGAATGAATGGTCATGTGTTGGCAATTTCTTTGTAAGTACCATTATCTGTAATAAAAAGATACATTTCTCCTTCCATTATCTGAGATCATCTTTAATATCCTGCTGCCTTCTTTTTAATTGTGAAATATAGACAGATATATCCATTTTTATTTGCTTCTCATTTGCTGTGTGCTGTGTTTATGAAAATAGGAATTGATTAAAGTGTTGAAATACTAAGAGGAAATAAATATCTTTTATAATATATTGTAAAGTAGTGGTGATCAGAGATTGATGTATTGCTGTAAATCTGTGTTGTTATTCTGATTATTACTTTTTTTTGTTTTGTATTTTCAATTAAATCCGAACAAAGCTAAACAATTCCCTCAATCCCCTCTATTATCGCTAAATAATATCAATACACTGAGGTTTATTCAACAAGTTAAAAAAAAAAATAGGGCTGAAACAAAACTGGAATCTTTTGGCCCAATAGATCAGCGGTATATCTGGAGGAAGAAAATGAAGCATATGCTAAAAAGAACATTCTGCCTTCAGTTAAGCATGGTGGTGGCTCGGTGATGCTCTGGGGCTGCTTTGCATACTCTGGCACTGGAAACCTGCAGCATGTGGAAGGCAAGATTGAAGTATCAGGAAATTCTAGGAAAAAATGTCATGCCATCTGTGAGGAAGCTGAAGCTTGGGCTTCATTGGATTTTCCAACAAAGCAATGATCCCAAGCACACAACAAATTCCACCAAGGCTTGGTTGCAGAAGAAGTCCTGGAAAATTCTACATTGGCCATCACAGTCACTTGACTTGGACATCACAGTCACTTGGCCATCTTTGGTGGGATTTGAAGAAGGCAGTTACGGCATGCAAACCCAAGAAAATTATATATATTAAATATATATATATGAACTGGAGGCCATTGTGGGTGAGCAATGGCCTAAGATTCCTCAGGAACGCTGCCAGAAGCTGCTTTCTCGCTATGCATCTAGTTTGCAGCAGGTCATAACAGCAAAAGTTCACACGTCACAATAAACTTGCCATGAGCTTACATTTTCTGTCGGTTAACTTCAAGGTTATTGAATAGACTTTGAAACCAAAATGCCATATAGCCCAGACCCTTGCCAATTTATTTTAGTATTCAACATGGTTTTAGCAAAGTATAATTTCAATGCATTACCTTCTATTCCCCGTTGCCAGAGGAGCCTGTTAAATACTACAAAATAAAAGTGCTGATATTTATTCTCTTTTGCTCACACAAAAATTCTTTATATTATTGCTAGGTTTCTAAAAGAAATGATAATCTGTAAAGCTGCAAAACCCAAGAGAACGGTGTAATTTACTTCATGTAAATTTGCTGCGTGCCTTAGATCTTTAGGAGAAAATAAAGTCATTTCCATTATTTTGCTCCCTGTTTACCCCTGCTCAGGTAGCATACATCGATTATTTTTATGTTTCAAAGACTGAAGTATGAAAATTCTGCAATTTGTCTGAAGTTTCTTTGAGCGGGGAAGAAATGTCATCTCAGAAATAGACTCTGGATAGGGCGCTGGAGATTAGCCCTTCTTAGCTTCCATTTAGGAAGACGAGAAGTAATAAATGTTTTAAAGCATATTTTACAAGTTTTTTTCTAGTTGTAATGTAAGTTTGTAATGCTTCTTGACAGGCACCATATTAATATTTTAGTAGGCACATTAGTAAATTGATAGTTAATATCATAGATTTATATAATACATGAGCATTATTTTAACTAAGAATCATATATTAGATTGCCGTACTGGTGACATCATAGGTTACTAGCTAATAATAATTTAGAGCAAGAACAATGTCTTTTTATTTACTCATTCTAAATACATTTATTGCAATTTAACCCCTTGCCAACCGCGGACGTACCAGGTACGTCCGACAAAAACATTTGTTAATAACCTTGGATGTACCTGGTACGTCCACGGCAGAAATGACCCCTGTACTGACCTTGACCGGCGATCCTGGTCGGGGGGGACTGCCTGAGACCCCAGCAGTCCCCCTGCAGCAGGTCTGGCCACCGCGACCCTCCAGGGCCATGTGATCACTGTGATCACATGGCCGCAATAGGAGTCTATGGAGCTGCCAGCAGGGGGACTGCCTCAGCTGTCAGGCAGTCCCCCAGGCAGCTAAAAGTAAAAATAATAATAATAAAATAATGAAATTAATATATAATACATATATTATATATGTAAAATATATTACAAAATAATGAAAACATTTTATAATATATTATACATATATAATGCATATATATGAATTCATACATATATATCTCAAAATACACTTATAATGTGATCATATATATGCATTATATATGTATAATATATTATAAAATGCTTTCATTATTTACAATATATTAAACATATATAGGAAATAAGTGTGTGTGTGTATATATATATATAAATATATATATATATACACATACACACACACACACGTATTATATAAACACGTATTATATGTATATGTGTGTGTATATATATATATATATATATATAAATATACACCCTGTTCCAAATTATTGTGCAAATTATATTTTTCTCATTTACCTAAATAATTGATGTAAATAAGTCAGCATAATTCTCATGTTATCACCTATTAAGAGTACAATTCAAATTTTATCGAACAAACCTCCTAATGATAACAGTAATTTTTTTAAACATAAAAAACTTACAATGCACTGTTCCAAATTATTAAGCACAGTAAGTTTTAAAAAACTTTATAGGTTGTAAAGAACTGGAATTTGTAATTTGTTGTGTTTGCAGCATATTTACTGAAATCAAAAGCTATTTCAATCAAACTTATAACAACATTTTAACTTTTTTTTAACATTTTAACAGGTCACGTAACATTTTAACATAGGACCCCTTATTTGATAGCAGTTTCACAAGTCTTGCATCCATTGAACTGCCTCCCACCTTCATAGATCTTTTGCTTGAGGATGCTCCAAAGGTTCTCAATAGGATTAAGGTCAGTGGAGGACGGAGGCCACACCATGACTTTCTCTCCTTTTATCCCCATAGCAGCCATTGATGCAGAGGTATTCTTTGCAGCATGATATGGTGCATTGTCATGCATGAAGATGATTTTATTACGGAAAGCATTCTGTACCAGGGAAGAAAGTGGTCAGTCAGAAACTCCACATACTTTGCAGAGGTCATCTTTACACCTTCGGGGAACCTAAAGGGGCTGATCAGCTCTCTTCCCATGATTTTGGCCCAAAACATGACTCCACCACTGCCTTGCTGATGTCACAGCCTTGTTGGAACAGGGTGGCCGTCCACCAACCATCCATTACTCCATCCATCTGGACCATCCAGGGTTGCATGGCACTCATCAGTGAACAGGACTGTTTGAAAATTAGTCTTCATGTATTTTTCTGCCCAATGCAGCCATTTCTGCTTGTGAGCATTGGCTAGTGGTGGCCGAATAGAAGGTTTATGCACAGTTGCAAGACTCTGGAGGACTCTACACCTTGATGTCTGTGGGACTCCAGAGGCACCAGCAGCTTCAAATATCTGTTTGCTGCTATGTAATGGTATTTTAGCAGCTGCTCCCTTGATCCGATGGATGGATTTGGCAGAAATCTTCCTCAATGTGCCTTTATCTGCACAAACCCGTCTGTGCTCTGAATCAGCCACAAATCTCTTAATAGTGCAATGATCACGCTTACGTTTTTGTGAAATATCTAATGTTTTCGTACCTCGTCCAAGGCATTGAACTATTTCATTCTTTTCGGCAGCAAAGAGATCCTTTTTCTTCCCCATATTGCATGAAAATGGTGCTCTGCTTAATAATGTGTAACACCCTCCTTTAGTAATTTTTCGGTAAATTGGGTTCACCTGGCAATCTAATTATCACAGGTGTCCAAGATTGTTTTCAGTGATCAAAAGATCACTGAGACACAATGCCATCCACGAGTTAAACTAAAAAACTAAATATTTAATCTTTGTGACACTTAAATAGAATTTGCATAATAATTTGGAACAGACAAATATATATATATATATATATATATATATACACAAGTATTATAGTTTTTGACTTTTTTGTTAATTGTTTGTTTGGCTAGTGTTTCTTCTTTCACTGATAGTCTTATAAATTTATGTTCACTGTTATGACTTTCACCCTTCTAATCTTTCATATCTTTATCTCAAATGTTAAATCCTCTGGTTTTTCATCACTGATTACCTCAATATCTCCATGTCTCCCCACCCATAATGGTGTTTTTTTTTTCTTCTAACCCCAGACCTTATATTTCAGACTGGGCCCCTAATAACAGCATTGATTAACACCCAGTACTCACAAGCAACCAAGCCCTGCAGAAAAGCCTAAGCAGAGGTATCATCTCTGGAAGGCTGCCCACCCCATGGTCATTACCATACTTATAGATAGTGCAGATCAGCTGATTTTCTAAACACACCAATCAAGTCACCAAACCTCTCCTCACCTGAAATCCCTCTGTTAACAAACTGCATCCTTAGCTTAGAGTCATGTCTACAAATGCTCGCAGTTTAGGGAATAAGATCCATGAACTTGTGGCAATAATGGCAACTGATAATGTAGATTTAGTCGTGGTTACTGAGACATGGTATAATGAGAAAAATGACTGAGATGTAGCAATACCAGGGTACTCTTTAGATAGAAAAGACAGGGAAGGCAAGAAAGGGGGAGGAGTGGTGCTGTATGTGAAGGATAGCATAAAATCTAGCCGAGTAAAAGTTAGTGAGGCAAACATAGAGTCCGTTTGGGTTACGTTAGAATTTGGTAATCACACAGTAACTCATGTAGGTGTGATTTATAGGCCCCCAGGACAAATTGAAGAGTTAGATAATATACTGGTTAAGGAAATAGCTAAAATGACAATGAAGGGGGAAGTTATCATCATGAGTGACTTTAATCTTCCTCATGTGAACTGGAAAACCAAAATAGCTGCTTGTGCCAGGAACACACATATTCTAACCTCCCTACTGGGATTGTCTCTAAAACAAGTCGTTGAGGAGCCAACTCATAAAGAGACCATACTACATTTAGTGTTAACAAATGGAGATTTGGTATCAGATATTACTGTAGGCGAAAGTTTAGGGGACATGTGATCATCAGTCAGTGCGGGTTAATATAAAAACAGTGACTGAGTCGCACCACACAAAAACTAAAGTTGTAGACTTTAGAAAAACAGACTTTTCTAAAATTAGAATATGTGTAAATGAGTAATTATTAGACTGGAACAATTTAAATGGAGTCCAGGAGAAATTGGATTATTTAAAAGTTGCACTGCTGAAGGCAACAGAAAATTACAATAGGATTGTCAATCAAAGCAAAAAAATTCAAGAAACCACTGTGGCACTCTGCAGATGTGGCCAAAATAGTAAAAAAAACTAACGTTAGCATTTAGTAATTATAAAAAAACCCAGAGTGAGGAAGACAAAATGATCTATAAGACTAGGCAGAAAGAGGCTAAGCAAGTTATAAGAGCTTCCAAATCACACACAGAAGAGAAAATAGCACTGTCAGTAAAAAAAGGGACAAAACTTTTTTTAGATACATAAATGAGAACAGGAAAGTAAAACAAGGTTTAGTTAGATTAAAAACAAAAAAGGAAGGTATGTAGAAGAGGATAGAGATATAGCTGACTGCCTCAATGGATATTTTTGTTCAGTATTGACAGATGAAAATGAAGGAAAGGGGCCTCAGTTGGGAAAAATGACATTTTTCATAGTCATTTGTTACATGTGAGTTTACAGAGGAAGAGGTTCTATTTCAACTGTCAAAAGTAAAGACAAATAAGGCAATGAGACCTGATGGAATACACCCAAAGTTATTAAAAGAGCTTAGTGGTGTACTAGCAAAACCATTAACAGATTTATTTAACCAATCATTGTTAACAGGAGTAGTCCCAGAAGATTGGAAGTTAGCGAATGTTGTGCCCATTCAAAAGAAAGGTAGTAGGGAGGAGTCAGGCAAATATGGGCCAGTAAGCCTTACTTCAGTAGTGGGGAAAGTAATGGAAACCATGTTAAAGGATAGGATTGTTGAACATCTAAAATCACATGGGTTTCAAGATCAGACACAACATGGGTTTACTTCCTGGAGATCATGCCAAACTAATCTTATTGATTTTTTTGATTGGGTAACTAAAGTAATAGATCAGTGTGGTGCAGTAGACATTGCTTACCTAGATTTCAGTAAGCACACTGTTGCACACAGAAGGCTTATCAATAAACTGCAATCTTTAAGTTTGGATTTCAATATTGTTGAATGGGTAAGGCAGTGGCTGAGTGACAGGCAACAGAGGTTTGTAGTCAATGGAGTATACTCAAAGCATGGACTTGCCACCAGTGAGGTACCTCAGGGATCTGTACTTGGACCCATTCTCTCTAATATTTTTATTAGTGATATTGCAGAAGGTCTTGGTGGTAAGGTATGTCTTTTTGCTGATAATACTTAGATATGTAACAGGGTTGATGTTCCAGAAGGGGATAAGCCAAAGGATTTAGGTAAACCAGAAAAATGGTCAGAGTTGTAGCAATTGACATTTAATGTGGATAAATGCAAGATAATGCATCTTTGACATAAAAACCCAAGGGTAGAGTACAGAGTATTTGATAGAGTCCTAACCTCAACATCCAAGGGAAAGGAATTTAGGTGTGGTTATTTCTGTTGACTTAAAAGTAGGCAGACAATGTAATAGAGCAGGTGGAAATGCTAGCTGAATGCTTGGTTGTATAGGGAGAGGTATTAACAGTACTTCCACTTTACTCCCCTCCCCTCCCTATTCATCCCATGCACTCTTCATATACCTTTCCAGCCTATCTCCTACAACTCCTCCCATATCCTCTATATACACACCCTCCTACAAAACTTTTTCAAATCCTACTCCCACCTTCACTTCCTTTCTATCCTTCTGCTTCTAGCAGCTGGTGACCTCACTCCAAACCCCGGTCCCATCTTAGCAAACCCACCACGTTCTAACTCAAGGAACCACACCAATCTCATACTCATGTTACTCTTCCTTTAAATCCTCCTTCAATACTGCCCTCTGGAATGCACGCTCTGTTTGCAATATTACAAAATCCACTGCTGTCCACAACCTCTTCATCTCGCGTTCCCTAGATTTACTAGCCTTAACAGAAACATGGATCTCCCCCTCTGACACTGCTACCCCTGCATCATTATCCTTTGGTGGTCTTCAACTTACCCACAACCCAAGAGACTCTAAATGTAAAGGTGGTGGTGTAGGGTTTCTCCTCTCACCTCACTGCTCCTTCAAACCTCTATCCACCCCTCCTTCCCTCTCTTTCCCAGCATTTGAAATTCATTTGATTCACCTCTTCAAACTCTTCTCTGCTATCATTGTCATTATTTATCACCCCACCTGGATCCCCTCTTCCTTGACCACTTTTCTGCCTGGCTACCCTACTTCCTCTCTTCTAATATTCCATCCCTAATTCTCAGGGACTTCAATATTCCCATTAAACCACCTTTGACCTCAGCAGCCTCTAAACTACTTTCAATTACTTCCTCCCTCGGACTATCACAGTGGGCTAATTTTCCCACCCATGTAGCTGGCAATACCCTCGACCTCATTTTCTCTTATGCATGCACAGGATCAAATATCTGCAACACTCCATTTCCTCTCTCTGATCACCACACATTGATCATGCCTTTCCTACCCTTCAGACTTTCTCCCCGGCTACTGAACAAGAGGTGGCTGCGCTTCTCCTTTCCTCTTCCCCCACCACTTGCCCGCTCAATCCTGTCCCATCTCACTTTATCAGATCTCTCTCATGCTGTCTTGTGCCTTCCTTAACACACATCTTCAACTGCTCTCTCTCTTCTGGCATTGTCCCTGCTGACCTTAAACATGCCACTTTATTACCTATCCAGAAAAAAAAATATCTTGACCCATCCTCCCGCTCTATCGTCCCATATCCCTGCTCCCTTTTCCCTTAAAGCTTCTGGAAAGACTTGTCTTTACCTGTATGTCTCACTTCCTCAATTCCAACTCTCTCCTTGACCTTCTTCAAATTGGCTTCCGCCCTCTCCCCTCTACTGAGACTGCTCTTATCAAAGTTACTAACGACCTAATCACAGCTAAATCCAAAGGCCACTACGCCATACTAATTCTTCTTGAACTCTCTGCTGCCTTTGACACAGTTGATCATGCTCTCCTTCTTCAAACTCTTCAATCACTCGGTCTCTTTGATTCTCTCCTCTCATGGTTTTCCTCTTATCTCTTCCAACTCTCATTCAGTGTCTCCTTTTTTAATTATACCTCCTCCCCTGATCCTGTCTTGGTTGGAGTCCCCCAAAGCTCTGTCCTTGGTCCCCTTACATTTTCTCTTTACTGCCTCTCTTGGCAAACTTTTGACCTCTTTTGGATTCCACTACCACCGGTATGCTGATGACTACCAAAATATATCTCTCCCTGCCATCCTGCAACATGTCACTGTTTGCCTTTCTTCCATCTTTGACTGGATGTCCTCCCGCTTTCTGAAACTCAATCTCACTAAAACTGACATTCTCACATTCGGTATGTTGCCAAATCCTGTAGATTCCGCCCCTTTCTTAAGCAAAATGCTACCAAGGAGCTTGTCCATGCTCTAGTAATTTCCCACATGAATTATTGTAACCCTCTCCTAATTGGTCTTCCCAAAAGTCGTATTGCCCCACTACAGTCTAATGAATGCTGTTGCCAGATTGATTTTTGCTCTCTAATCGGTCCTCTCACACCTGACCCCTCTGTCAGTCTTTACATTGGCTTCCTGTATCCTATAGGAGTCAATTCAACGTGCTAATCCATACCTATAAAGCACTAAACAATTCTAGCCCTTCTTATATCTCTTCACAGTTCCATAGATATGCCCCTTCTTGGTCTCTCTGCTCTACCCGTGACCTTCGACCAACTCACGCTTGCAGGACTTCTCGCGGGCAGCTTCTTTCCTATGGAATAGCCTGTCTACTGCCATCAGACTCTCCCCTAGACTTCAATCATTTAAGAAGTGCCATAAAACCCATCTCTTTAGGAAAGCATATGGCCTCCCAGAGTAACCTTTACCTCACATACCGGTCTCTTGCTCTCTCCTAAAGGGCAGCACTCTACTCTCTCCTCCAGCTCTGCTTCACTCCCACTTTAATTAATTGCTATTTCCTGTTCTAATGTGTTTTATATCCCACCTCCTATAGACTGTAAACTCGTTTGAGCAGGGTCCTCTTCAACCTATCGTTCTTGTAAGATTTCTGGTAATTGTCCTATTTATAGTTAAATCCCCCCTTCTCATAATATTGTAAAGTGCTGCGGAATCTGTTGGCGCTATATAAATGGCATTAATAATAATAATAATAATAATTTTATACTACAGAAAAAAAGACTCTTGTTTTAGAACTATATATGTCTTGTATCTCTTTGCATATTTATTTATTGTTTAATTGCAATGTATGTGGCGCAGCCCTACCCTTAATTTGTATTGTTCTTTTTTGATTATATCCTAAAGCAGGAGTAGGCCATGCACGGCACTCAAGGTGTCTTTGCACGGCACTCAAGGCTGCTAGAGCCAAACAGGCACTGGCCTATCAGGAGTCCCAGTGAAACTTCAGATATCTGCTAACACGAAAAGATGGTTGAGGACAATCCTCAATTTATGCATTGCAGCACGTAGAGGAAGTGATCTCAGATCACTTCCTCCCAGCACTTGTGAATGGGAATCCACACAGTAGTAGAGCAGCCTGCCGCTGCTGTTGCAGCTCCTGTCCTTGATCTTTACCTGGCCAGCCTGGAACCCACTGGAACCCAGGGAAGCCACCCACACTGCTAGATATACACAGAAATGCAGAATAATACTCCCCTCATACAAATAATACGAACAGCCCACACACAAACACAACACACAATTTGTACAAACGTAACCAGCTAACAATCCACATACATGCACACAACCACACATGCAGCTTCTCACATGCAATACCTCAAATAGCCCCCACACACTACCAAACACACAATGTGACATATCCATCCACACACACAATTCCACAAGCAGCCCCCATACACAGCTTTCATTCATATGTATCATACACAATACCATAAACTACTAATGAACATATACAATATAATAGCTCATATACGCACGAATATAAAGATACAAAGCAAATACAGTATAAATAACACGAGCAGAATACGGCAGCATACACACCTCAATTTAAAAAAATTAAAATAGGACCGGCACACTACGGAACATCACAATCCTACATCGGCACAGTGCTGCTAAAAGGTTGCTTACAACTGTCCTAAAGGCTTAGAGGGATTAGTTTGGTTAATTAGCTCTGACCCTTCGTTATGCTTTATACTTGTTTTTGTTTTTTTGCCTTGATTTGTATGCATTCTGGGTTCCATCTTATAGAGGTTGCTGCACTGGTCATCATCCCTTCCCAACCAGACCATTGACACCTATCTTTCATAAAACCATGTTGATTCCTGCTAATGATATTTTGGTTCAAAATGAATTCTTGAATATTATCCCTTAACAGCTCTTCAAATTCCCAACCACAGATGTTACACTCATGGGTCTGTAGTTCCTGGGTTAAGCTTTTGAATCCTTTTTAAATATAGGCACCACATCTTTTTTCACATCTGCTTTTCTTCCTCTAGTACAATTCCTGAGAGAAAAGAACCCTGAAAATTTAAAAACAGTGTTATGGTTATTTCTACACTAAGCTTCCTAAGCACACGTGGGTGAATACCTGTCAGGATACTAGTTGATCCAGCACGGAGAACTGTATCATACCTAGGACTAAAGGTAACGTCTTACCGGGCCTCAGAATGGCCGGATTTAACGTACCAGAGAATAGTCAGAAGACTTGCTGAGGTTGGGGACACAGAATGAGACACAACAATGAGGAAAAGCCAAAAGTCAAGGATACCAGAATACAGGGAAGTCAAACGAAGCCAAAGTCAATAACCAGAAATAAACGCTCAGGAACACACTCTCAGATAATATACTAAGGGAAACCACAACAGGGCAATGAGGAAAAGCAAAAACGAGTTTAAATACGTCTCCTTCAGATAGAATTGGCAGTTCCAGGCCTTTGACCCCACAACGTGTGCGCACATCCTTTGCGTGACGTCACATGCATGTTGACGTTGTCAATAGCGTGGGTGGACATGGGGTTATAAATTGGTATGGATCCGCAGTGACCGGCGTCTTTCAACATGCCGCAGGAGTCAGATACGCCGGCACAGGACTGCTGATTAGCATCTCCGTCAATGTCAGGAAGTTAGTTGTCACCACGGACACCTCAAGGTGAGGATAAACATGTGACAATACCATCTGGCACTGGGACTTTGTTTATATTTACTTTATTTAATTTCTGGGGCCCTAATAAAACAATAAGGGGGGGACCTACTGTCCTCCCCCCCTGGCCCCCACCCCTGCGCGGTGGGTGGGGGCCCTAAATGAAACACCCCCTCCCCCCCAATCAAGGTGACTAGGGGTCCCTAGCCCCTAGTCACCCCCCCCACCCCAAAAAAAACCTATCCCCTACCTATCCCCCTCACCCTAAAAATAGTGAGGGGGGAATAAAATAACTAACCTGTAAAAAACAATTAAACTTACCATTTGACGTCTTCTTCTTTCTAAAATCTTCTTTCTTCAGCCCCCAAAAAGGCCAAATAAAAATCCATCATACCTGTCGCAATTTTAAAAAAAGCGCAATTTTTTTTAAATCCATGTTCGCCCTTCGAGGGCACGCCGCGTACTGAGCTCCGCAGGGCGGGGCAAGGCTTTATAAGCAATTAGGCTTAGAACACTCTGATTGGTGGATTAAGTAACCAATCAGAGTGTTATCCTACAAAGGTATTGTTCCCCTAATATATTGTTTCCTATCATGTATTTTCAAATTACATTATATTTTAAGGTTATCGTTAGTGTAAGTTTCAAGGTATGTAGAGTTGTGTTACAGTAATGTAGGGGTTAAATGTTAGTTTGTTGACGGATAGTATGAACTTTACACTTATCAGTGCAATTCAGCCTGGAAGGGCTGCCTATTACAGCACAGTAAACATCAAGTTGTTTGTGAATAGCTTAATAGATTACCAGTGGATGGCAACTGGAGACACTTGGTACCATTACCACAATGGTACACTGCAGTGGTTATAGGGCCTAGAGTGTGTATAGGAGAAGATTTTATTACCAGGCATTACTGTATATAACATGACTGCATATATGGCATACATTACAGGAATTGTGTATTGGAAATATAGTATAGAATGAGACTGTTTAGAGGACAGACAATATAGGATGAGACTGTTTAGAGGGCATGCAATAAAGGACAAGCATGTACTAGACTGAATAAAAAAGAATATTAAAAGATGTCTGTGAAAGCGAGTGTTAGAAATTGACTTGGATTGGACTGTGTGAGTTATTACGTATTAGAATGAGAGCGAAGTATTACAGGAATCTGGGGAGTATGAAAATTTGGCAGCTAAGCCATAAACCTGCAGCAGAACATAACTAATAATATAAAACACTTTGTACTTGGTAGACAAAAGGCAGAGCAGTGACAATCCCACAGCAGCTTTCTGGATTTCTGTCTGAAGGATTTCTGTGATGACTGTAGGAATTCTCATTCCTTATGACCAGAAGTCACTTCCTCGGCAGATATAGGTTGTGATTTAGTATTTATGGATATATTTTTCAAATGATTTAATATTTTTGGATACATTTTTAAAATGATCTATTATGTTATGAAATTATACTTAAATATTTTAATATTTTTTGATGTGATATATTTTTTATATATGATATATTGTGTGATATTGTAATATTTAAAAAAAATATATTTTTAAATGTTTATCCAAAAATATTAAACCATTTGGATGCTTTTCCAAAAATATTACATCAAAGCAATAGATAGATAGATTAACCCAATACATTACAGTAAGACTATCCATTAAAACCTACACCAGACTTAATACTTAATACTAACTATTAACGTGTACACTGTTCTAAGGCAGACCCTTAATATCAATGCACCTTATTGATAACCCTTAACCTCTACACCACCTTAACACTGACATTCACCCTAGCCCTAACATTAACACTAACCTGTTAATTTTAATATGTCCCCAATGCACTAAATTCATCATATATCACAGAGTTACATAATGTATTCAATGTAAAATTGTAAAATAGAAACTTACCCGAGCTCTGATAAGCTGACACTCTCAGCCAATGAACCAGGGTTTATCTCAGAAGAGTAAATTGAAACTTGTAGCAGGAGCTTCTAGATCTCAGAGGAGGAAGTGACAAAAGCTCTTGGCAGACCCCAGGTTAGTTGCAAAACTGCTACCAAATGGTTCGACAACTTAAATTGATGGTGGGGAGTCAACATGGCACTCCTGGTACCATCACTTCTGCAGCCTTCTTGGAGTGTTCCGTTAAATGATAAACGGCTTGCCTCAAAGCCTTTCAGAATTCCTTCTCTTGTTATCTTTTGTTACTCTGTGCACAGGCATTATTTAATAGAAGTAAACATATATGAATATATTTTTGTAAAGCAAAACCACTTAGTTTAGATGTATGCAACCCATTCAGTCAACAAGGCTAAATAATTACTGATAATAAGTCAAGATGCATACAGACATAATTTAAGCCTGACAAACATTTATTCATAAGGCAAGTCATAACAAACAGACTGAATTTTGAGTTTTTCTTTGTGATAGCAAGCTGCAATTATTTTTTACAAGGTCAAAAAGTCATAAATAAGAAATTGAAAAATTGCAGTGTTCGTTGAACAAATGCTCCACAAAAAATAGGACACCGACAAGATGATCCAGGTATACAATTTTGTTGAAAGATTTACAAAAAATGAGCGTTTATCTGTTCTAACCAAAATGATCAATTAATTGCAGGATGAAGAATGACATAAAGGGGCCTATTCATCAAACTGGGAAACTAGAAAAAAAAAAAAAAGATTTATTCCAATTTTGTTAATGTGGCTGAAAGGGATACTGTCACCATTTCATCATAGGGAAGTGGTTTTGGTGCATAAAACCTGTTCCTATATCCTAGCAAAAATATGCAAACCAGAGATGGCTACAAGCACGTATCTAGTAACTAGCAAACTGACAGTCACTTCCGAACACCTTAGAATATCTTTATTTTTAACCTTTTTACCTGAGTTTGCCACAAGCTCCTGGAGCAGCCTGCTTGCCAGCCTCCTGCCCACAGACTATAGACACTGTGAAAAAATAATGTAAAAGTCTCTGTTCGTGCAATTGGGATTATATGGTTTGTTTACCGAACAACCGCACAAACCAGAGACCACCGTGGTGCTTGTTAACACCTATTACCAACTTGGAACATTTCTCACCGCAGTGTTCTAATTGTTCATCTGGGTGGCCGCAATTCCTATAGACAACCACGAGGTGGTGGCCATCTTGTTCGCATGAACGCAGGCAGCGGTGTTTGTGCATGAATCTCCTGGAACTAAAATTGGATACAGAAACTCCAGAACACCGCTGGACTTCCATCATCGCCTGCATTCAGTTCTATACAAGTTAGAAGAGCACTGTTCGGTGGGATCATTCGTCTGGATAAAGGGAACACGCTCTGGGGTAAGACTATTGACTCTGTTTGGTAGTTTGTTCATTTTCAAACTACTGAACTAGACCAACCACAAGCCCTGATTCTCTGGAACTGTTTTGGGCATGGGACCATGCCTGCAGACGGTCAAATAAATGACTTCCATAGAATTTCTGAACCCCTGACCTGATCTTGTTGATTTTTGGATATGTTGGTCACCCAGATCAGGGCTATCAGGGGATGTGACATTTGTGGAGATATTGTGTGTTTTGGGGTACTTTGGGGACTTTTTAGAAATGTGTGTTTTTTCTGCCTGGAGATAATTTGGTTAATGCAGTATCTGATCCAATTATCTCCCAGGCAGAGGGGAGGGATTGTTTGCCTTGTGTGGAAGTGCCTTACATTGTAAATGTGTTATTATTGGTTTGGAAGTTTGTGTCCATGTGGGCGTACCTCTTGCTTGGGGACTTGCATAAAAGGCCAAGTGTGGCAACATTAAAATCTATTCGGCTTACACTCCAAAACTGTGTGTTGTCCTGTTATTGAAGGGAAAGAAGATTTACTCCTGTGTCTGCTGTTCCAGCTTGCAGGGGATTCAACAGAGAAAGTCGTTGTAAGGACTAGAGCTAATTCCCCATTCAGCTCCAGGAAGGAGGGCATCCAGGGCCCCAGTCAAGCCACGGCGACTGTGGGCAGAAGTGCTGCGGTTTGTCCCCTGTTCCAGCTAGGAAGCGGTCCTTGGCGGAAGTACCCAGTCGAGGTACAGCGAGCTCTGTTACAGGAGTGTTCTCTAAAGATTTAGAAAAGCCCTCATACATTTTCCACAGATTTAAATTTTGTGAATAAACTCCAAACAGTGAAATTGTTCTTACCAACACGTAAAATAATTCATAAAGTTATTTAAAACTAGAAATATTCTTTGATTCAGCTGTTTATCCAACTTGAATATTTCATGCTAAAACTTGCAGTGCCTTTTCAAATTTCCTACAATTCCATGTGTAGAGACTAAACTAATATGGATTTTTAAGCCATAAATCTGTTATCTCATATACAAAAATATTTATGATGAAAAAATAAATAAAAAAGAACACGCACATAGATAATATACCTTGCATGTAGAAAATGTTGGACATCAAAAAAGTAGGCTTATGTTAATTTGTACATAATTGAAATCTATTGGCTTATTATGTATGGCTATGATGTCTCTAAATCAAAACAGAAATCCAGATGTGGTCTCCTCGTTCACTGTCTATTGTCAACTACATCTCATTGACGAGACCCAAAGAAGACAGAAATCTCTCCTTCTGTATAGACGAGTCTATGATTTCACATCTGAATTGCCCCTAGTTTGGATCAGCCTAATATACCAACATGCCAAATAGGTACTTACCAAGGGGAAAGCTACATGAGTTTATGCCCATGTTTAGTATTCTTTCATGTCTTTAAAAAGTTAAAGTTATATTTTCAAAAATACATGAAATGGAGGTAAAACTGTTTTTCCTCAATATTTTTGGCACCATACCACAGACTTGTTAAAGAGGTTACCATCTGATGAATTATTAGGCCAGATGAGCACAACATTTTTGACAGCCCTCTGTTTGATATAATGCATACTAGGACAAAAGGAACAAAATAAATCAGAGCGGCAGATGTCAGAGTGCCCTTGTTTTGGTTATTTACGGTGGGTTGTGATTTGAAGGTAGTAAAATGTATATCTAATAACGGCTTGTAAATAGCTACTAAAAAAAAAAAAAAGATCCCTAAAAAAAACAGCGCTGTTGTGCTGACGGTCAGGGTAATATCTAAAAGTTAACTTTACATCGGTCTCCAGGTCTCATATTCTTCCATAGTCTCAGGTATTTTAAGATGATACTGTAATGTGCTAAATGCAGGTTTTGTTAAAGCGTGAAGTGTTTAAATGATTGAAAATACTGACTACATAAGTACATTCACTTATGTCCAGGACCGGACTGGCCATCGAGCAAACCCGGACTGGCCTTCATCTACATGGGACAGTCAAAGTTCTCCCTCACTGGCCCACTACCCAAACATGGAGAGCTGCGCAGGGAGTGTCAGGTCTCACCGCTCCGGTCACTGAGAGCGTTGCTGCAGGTTTCCATGGCAATGCTCTCATTAAAGCTGGAGCTAATCAGAAGTACTTGTAGCAGAGTGCACTGAGCCAGGTTCTCCCCTCACTGTCCTCCGTTCCTTAACCAAAAGTAATAAAATGGAGAGAGGAATAGATATTTCTTCTTTGTTTTTGTATTTTTTTTGTTGTTTTTGTTTATGAAACTATTAGATTTTTTTTCATTTTAATATTTTATTCCAATCTGCAGTCTGAACCACTTACCACAGACACCCACACACAGATACATGCATAGGCACACTACAGCCCCACACCTTCTACACACACACATCTCATAGACTAACACATACATACACTACACCGTCTAGACTCACAAACACTCTATAGTCCCTTGAGACACACACTACAGTACCTATACAAACAGAAACAACCCTGTACATACAAACCTAAATCCCCTATATATAAACATGCATATTACAGCACCTGTACACACACGCTACAGTCCCTATATACATCCACATGCACACAAATACATTTACAAATGTAAATGTATGCTTACTAATGCACGGAGCCTATATAACAAAATGGGGGAACTAGAGGCAATAGCATACACTAAACAAAATGATATAATAGGTATAACAGAAACATGGTGGGATGAGACACATGACTGGGCAGTTAACTTAAATGGGTACATGTTATTTAGGAAGGATAGGAAAAACAAGAAGGGTGGTGGGGTATGTTTGTATGTCAACCATGAGTTAAAGTCAAATCTTAGGCATGTGGAGTGTGACAAGGAAAATGTGGAAGCTTTAAGGGTAGATATCTGCTTGGGGCAAACAAAGGGAAATCAATTATTTGTTGGAATATGTTATAAACCACCTAATGTAAATATTAATGAGGAAGAACAGCTGTTAGAGCAAATTGGGAAAGCTGCAAATCGGGGTAACACGTTAATTATTGGAGATTTTAATTACCTGGACATAATTTGGGATAGATTGACTAGTACTTCAGCAAGGGGAATCAGGTTTTTGAATGTGTTAAATGACACCTTCATGTCACAACTGGTACAAGCACCAACTAGAAAGGATGCTTGTCTGGATCTCGTTCAACAAACAATGTTGATCTTTTGACCAAAATTCAAGTAGGGGAGCATTTGGGAAATAGTGATCACAATATGGTAATTTTTAAAATAAACTCAAAAAAGCAAAAGCACGTGGGGTATACTAAAATGTATAATTTTCAAAAAGCTAGTTTCTATAAGATTAGGGCAGATCTACAACATATCGACTGGCATAAACTCCTTAGTGAAAAAAACACTGAGGATAAATGGAAACTATTCAAACAAATTATAGAACGGTTCATTTTTCAGTATATACCATTGGGTAATAAATATAAAAGAAACAAATTAAAACCAATGTGGCTTAGTAGAGAAGTAAAACAAGAGATTACAAATGAGAAAAGGGCGTTTAAAGCATTTAAATTGGACAAATCAGAGGCATCCTATATAAGATATAAGGAAGCCAATAATGCTTGCAAAAAGGCAATTAAAGTGGCTAAACTAGAAAATGAGAAATTGATAGCCAAAGAATGCAAAACCAACCCCAATTTTTTGGGGGTACATCAATTCTAAAAAAAACTAAAAAGAAAGTGTAGGTACACTGGAAACAGAGATGGGTCTGTTAGTTAATGAAGACCAGGAAAAGGCAGAAATTTTAAATAACTATTTTTCTTCAGTATATATTAATGAGGATCCTATGGCAAGCTATATGCAAATGATTGCTGCACAAAAACAGCAGATAACTTGTGATTGGATAACTCGAGACAAGGTGCTACAGCTGCTAGAGTAAATTAATGTAAATAAAGCTCTGGGGCCTGACGGTATTCACTCACGAGTACTTAAGGAGATAAGTAGGGAAATAAGTGAACCACTGTATTTAATTTTTCAAGATTCTTTTGTTTCAGGTATTGTACGGGTGCTGAAACGTTGACTTACTGGATTGACAGAAAATAAAAGAACAACCTTTTGGAAAAGCACAGAGTTCCGGTATTTTTTCTATTTTTATACTATTATTGTGACTTGGCACCAGGGTACATCATTTGGACAGTTGGAGTGCATTTATATTTACATATATATTATGTTATATACATATATATATATATATATATATATATATATATATCTATAGTCCAGTCTCTAGTAGAATCTTGTAAAAGGAGCTTACTCAATGAGGATGACTAAAATGTCTCTACCCTATATTGCTCCAAAATGAACTAGTGTTAACTGTTCCTATAATAGGTAGGTTAAGGTAGGAAAAAATAAATACTTGGGTTACCAGGGAAGCAGTCAACAATCTACAAGAGTGTAACAAGCTGTTATCCGATAATCCTTAAAATTGTAGTGATTTAAGAAAGGAATATACATCACTCCTATGTGTACATGAAAGAATATTAGGAAACCCAGGTAAAGGGAAAATAAAAGGGGAGATCATAAAATATACCTCAGTCTCCAGGTATAAACCCAGGGACCTCCCAAGCCACTGTATCCTAATCCTTATATAAATAAACACCAATACCTCCAATTGCCTCCAGATAGAATCCCTGACTCATGACTTATCCATATGTCGTTTTGGAATTTCTGATAAATCACAGATTTCACAAAATTCAGAAGAATCATGATTTTCATGTAACCGTACGCACATCAGATTTTAGCCCAATTACTATACAATTTGCACCATTGCAATTTTCCAAGCCAGCACGGAGGGTAGCAGCAACTGTAGAGATCCAATTTGTTAATAACCTTAATCTCACCTTTGGCTGATTTAAACACAAATGTATTTCAAATAATTTAGGAAAAGTTTCTTTACTCTTGCTGTACACCTGGTTCAGATGGAATTGTCACAATTCTTCCATTCCAGAGATATACGATCATGTTTGGAGAGAGTCTCACTTTTGACTTCTAATTGTTGAGTTGCATATTAAAACTGCCCAAGGACTGCTGGACAGAGCAAGAAAAGAGCTGAAGTCGTCAACAGGTCTGGAAAAGTGTAAAACTCTCCACATGTAAATTTAAGGTTTCACACCTGGCCAGTGTGACACAGCTGGACATAGGCGACTCTGTAATTAGGCGATTTATGCGTCCACTTAAGGCCTCAAATTCACTGGGCCTCATGGCCACATAACTCTACTAACTGGAGAACAAGGCTTGTAGCATGGGGCAGGAAGCGTAGGGTCACCACCGGAGGGATGACAACTATTAGGAGGTGCGAGGAGCAACAGCAGCCAGATGACCCTTGTACTGCTCCAGATTCAGGAGAGGGAAAGGGAGCAAAAGCATATTGGAAGATGGGAGAGGGGTAAGAGGGAGATGGAGCTGAGAGGAGAGAGGAAGATAGAGCTTGGGGGAGTGACAGAGATAGAGCTGGGTGGTAGAGAGAAAGAGAGAGCTGGGGGACAGAGAAAGGGAGCTGGAGTGAGAGGGAGATGGAGTGGAGGTAGAGAGGGAGATGGAACTGGGGGGAGAGAAGGAGATGGAATTGGAGAGAGAGGGAGATGGAGCATCACTTTCTGTGGTTAGAGTTTAGTGCCCATCTATCTTTGTACTTAGCCACCACTGAGGTCCAATACTATTCTCATATCACTGACAATGAGCTGTGGGAATTGTAGTCCAACACAATTTGAGGTGTTGCAATGTGACTCTGTTGTAAGAGATTTTAAGGATTAACTGACTCCTCTGTTAACCATCAAGTTACATTTCTGTACAGCTATACTTGTATTTTCATTTCCTTTCTCCAATGATTGCAGAAGTAAGAAATCTTTCCTGATAAATAATTGAATCATGGTTCTATCTGCTGTTTTACTAAATATTGCATAACATACATACCTACCCCAGAGTTATAGTAAATTTGGCTCTGTAAGTGAGAAAAATAAAATTTAATTATTTTTCAGTATTCTCCGTGTGACTATGTTGAATATTTATCATGGAATAGCACCATAAAAGCAATTAAATTAATAAAACTGACTTTATTACATGAACAGTAATGCTTTTCGATCTTACAAATCTGAGTTATAATATTAGAAAGATGAATGATTTGGATACAATTACAAACGGTAAAGGAAAATTTTAACAACTGGTGAAGGATTGAGTTTGGCTTTTAAAAAACATTGTAATGCATGAGAAGATCGAGTTTTGTTTTAATCCAGAGATCTTGTGAAAGATGCTGGGCACATGCATGCATGGCCAAATTTTTGGGTCTCCACTTCCAGAGATGGAACTGAAATTTTATTATTATTAACATTTAGAAATCTGTAAATTTGCTATGTATTTGGCTCTTTTAATATATCTACACATAACATTTTTAATTTTTTAAATAGCACAAAAGACATTAGAATCAGATGGTATTAGACTTGAGCAGCTTGATATGACAGTCTCTCAAACACTAAATAGGGTTCCCTACACAATCACACATTAGGATGAGCCTTTGGTTGTAAAAACTTAGATGGTCAACTCAATGTCATCAAGGATACTTTGAAGGATGTATTTTATGCTACAAAAAAACACAGCAGATATATCTGCCGAACAGAAAACGTCATCATCTAGCACCAGACTTGCAATATGTCTCTTCCTAACGACGATCACACCTACCACCAAATTCCAGAAGCAGGAAGCAGAGGAAGTAGAAACTGGTCAAGACTAATTACCACTCTTATATAACTTGACAGACATGGACGAGTTAAGTGTGGATTCCTATCTGTGCTATTTTTAATTTATTTTGATTAATAAAGGTAAGCTCCTTTATATACATTTATGACATATGCAATAATGGCATCCTGCTTCAACTAAATCCGTGGTGGGGATTAAATCACCGGAGCCCTTCATATCCAGAACAAGTTCATGCTTGGAATTTGTAAGTATGATACTTTTATTTAGTCAATATATGGTTAATAGAGTCATATAATGTGCCACTGACCTTTTTTCTTTTTATCTGCACATATCACTGTGTTGTTATGTGAGAGGCACCTGTTGTCCCTGACTGCGCTACATCCTTAGATGGGGTTGTACCGTCCGTGCTGGGAACACTAGAACTTTTAGTAGCTCTGTAAGGTGTGTTTTTGGCATATCTATTAAACCCCTTCACTTCATATTGCACTATTATTTTTATCTTGTTTATACTTCCTTTAAGCTTAATACTGCTGCGTATATGGAGACTTTTATCAACTGCATGTATGTTTATATTGTGTCTGTTTTCTTTGCCGCTGTTTATCAATATTTTCTGTTTGTATTGTTTTACTTGCTGCAAAACCTGGATAACATAGTGAAACTTAGTGTATACTTGATTCAATGCTTAGATGCTCATAAACGTAACTTTTTGTATAACTGATTCAATGCTTTCCTATGGGAAGCTTAAAAACCTTCTCTATGACGTTGCGAGAGGCAAAGATGTGAGCAGCACTGTGGGAGCCCTAGTGCTAAAAAAGGTAAGTAAATATATACACTGCTCAAAAATATAAAGGGAACACTTAAACAACACAATGTAACTCCAAGTCAATCACACTTCTGTGAAATCAAACTGTCCACTTAGGAAGCAAGACTGAGTGACAATCAATTCCACATGCTGTTATGCAAATGGGATAGACAACAGGTGGAAATTATAGGCAATTAGCCAGACACCCCCAATAAAGGAGTGGTTCTGCAGTTGGTTATCACAGACCACTTCTCAGTTCCTATGCTTCCTGGCTGATGTTTTGGTCACTTTTGAATGCTGGTGGTGCTTTCACTCTAGTGGTAGCATGAGACGGAATCTACAACCCACACAAGTGGCTCAGGTAGTGCAGCTCAACCAGGAGAACACATCAATGCAAGCTGTGGCAAGAAGGTTTGCTGTGTCTGTCAGCGTAGTGTCCAGAGCATGGAGGCGCTACCAGGAGACAGGCCAGTACATCAGAAGACATGGAGGAGGCTGTAGGAGGGCAACAACCCAGCAGCAGGACCGCTACCTCCGCCTTTGTGCAAGGAGAAACAAGAGGAGCACTGCCAGAGCCCTTCAAAATGACCTCCAGCAGGCCACAAATGTGCATGTGTCTGCTCAAACAGTCAGAAACAGACTCCATGAGGGTGCAGTGGCGGATCCAGAGCCTGATCTCGGGAGGGGCACTTGTAGATTATTTAAAGAAATAATCCAGACACAATAACTACTACAGCTCAGTGTAGTGGTTATGGTGTCAATAGTGCCGGGACCCCCTCCTAGAGTAAGTAGTCAAACCGTTTAAGAACAGTTTGACAACTTACCTGAGATCTGGTGGGAAATGGGGCGGTAGTAAGGCATAGGAGCAGTGGTGTGTGTGAGTGGTGCAATGTGTAAGGGGTGCAGTGTGTGTGTGTGAGGGGGACAGTGTGTGAGCAGTGTGTGTGTGTGTGTGTGTGTGTGTGTGAAGGTTGTAGTGTGTGAGTGGGGGGGCAGTGTATGTCAGGGATGCAGTGTATGTGTGGGACAGTATGTGTGTGTAACAGTTGCAGTGTGTGTGTGAATGTGGGCAAAGTGTGTGTATGGGGCGGCAGTGTATGGGGGCAGTATGTGTGTATGAGGGGCAGTATGTGTGTATGAGGGCAGTATGTGTGTATGAGGGCAGTATGTGTGCATGAGGGCAGTATGTGTGCATGAGGGCAGTATGTGTGCATGAGGGCAGTATGTGTGCATGGGGCAGTATGTATGCATGTGGGGGCAGTATGAGGCATGGGGGGCAGTATGTGTGTATGGGGGGCAGTATGTGTATTGGGGCAGTATGTGTGTATGTAAAGGTATGTTTGTATGGGGGGCAGTATACGGTGGCTGGGGGGCAGTATGTGTGTATGGGGGGAAGCATGGGGGCAGTATGTGTATGAAGGTGCAAGGTGGGGGGCAGCATGTGTGTGTATGGGGGGTTAAAAGTATGTGTGTATGGGGGTAGTGCATGCGTATGGGGGGGGTTGCATGTGTGGTGGCTGGGGCAGTATGCGCATGGGCATGTGTGCATGGGGGGGCAGTATGCGTATGGGGGGCATGTGGGGCGGTGCATGTGCATGGAGGCAGCATGTGCGTATGGGGGCAGTATGTGTATGGGGGCAGCATGTGTGTATAAAAGCGGTTACGTGTGCGTATGGGGGGCGTTACCGTGTGCGGGGCGTTATTGGGCAGCATGCGGCTGTAAAGGCATGGGGGGCGGCGCATGTGTGTATGGGGGCAGCATGAAGGTGGGCGGGGCAGTATGTGTGTATGGGGGGCAATGGGGGCGTATGTGTGTGTGGTATGGGGCAGCATGGGGTGTATGTGTATGGGGCCAGGCATGTGTATTGGGGGCAGCAATGGGGTAGTATGTGCTGGGGGCAGCATGGGTGGGTAGTATGTGGGTATGGGGGTAGTATGTGTGTATGGGGGGGTAGTATGTGTGTATGGGGGGGCAGCATGGGGGGCAATATGTGTGTATGGGGGGCAGTATGTGTGTATGGGGGGAGGCAGTATGGGGGCTATGTGTGTGTGTGATCAGGGTAGGGTGGCTTTTTTTTTTTATAGTATAATATTTTTTTATTTAATTAAAATAAATATTATTCTATGTCCCCCCTCCCTTCTTACCTTTACTGGGGAGGAGGGGGGACATATTTCGATCCCTGGTGGTCCCAGTGGGGATTCATTGGTGGTCAGGTGGTCAGAGTGAACTCTAGCCCGCGCTCCCGGGCTAGAGTTCACTCTCGCGAGATTTGGAGCGTTGCTGTGGTAACCGCGGCAACGCTTCAAATCTCGCGAGAGGAGGACCCGGAGGAGCTGCAGACCGAGCTCCGGGTCCTCCCTCTCCCTCCCCTGCCGGCTGCCAGCACAGTGTCTGCGGACCGGGGAGGGAGAGCTCTGATCTCCCCCCCGGTCCGCAGGCACATTGCAGGGGAGGGAGACCGGCGGATTTCTCGGGGGGGGCAATTGCCCCGTTGCCCCCCCCCTGGATCCGCCAGTGTGAGGGTGGTATGAGGGCCTGACGTCCACGGGTGGGGGTTGTGCTTACAGCCCAACACTATGCAGGACGTTTGGCATTTGCCAGAGAACACCAAGATTGGCAAATTCGCCACTGGTGCCCTGTGTTCTTCACAGATGAAAGCAGGTTAACACTGAGCACATGTGACAGACGTGACAGAGTCTGGAGAACGTTCTGCTGCCTGCAACATCCTCCAGCATGACTGGTTTGGCAGTGGGTCAATAATGGTGTGGGGTGACATTTCCATGTGCTCGCCAGAGGTAGCCTGACTGCCATTAGTTACCGAGATGAGATCCTCAGACCCCTTGTGAGACCATTTGCTGGTGCAATTGGCCCTGGGATCCTTAGCAATGCAAGACAATGCTAAACCTCATGTGGCTGGAGTGTGTCAGCAGTTCCTCGAAGACGAAGGCATTGATGCTATGGACTGGCCCGCCCATTCCCCAGACCTGAATCCAATTGAGCACATCTGGGACATCATGTCTTGCTCCATCCACCAACGTCACGTTGCACCACAGACTGTCCAGGAGTTGGCAGATGCTTTAGTCCAGGTCTGGGAGGAGATCCCTCAGGAGATCATCCGCCACCTCATCAGGAGCATGCACAGGCATTGTAGGGAGGTCATACAGGCACATGGAGGCCACACACACTACTGAGCCTTATTTTGACTTGTTTAAGGACATTGCATCAAAGTTGGATCAGCCTGTAGTGACTCCAAATCCAGACCTCCATGGGTTGAAAAATTTGATTTCCATTTTTTAATTTTTGTGTGATTTTGTTGTCAGCACATTCAACTATGTAAAGAACAAAGTATTTCAGAAGAATATTTAATTCATTCAGATCTAGGATGTGTTATTTTTGTGTACCCTTTATTTATTTTTTTGCAGTGTATATTATTTTATGGCAAATGGGGAGGAGGGACACGTTGATACCACTAGGGAAAAGGTTTGTATTCATAATAATATAGTGTTCCTTTAAGCTGATCAAAGGTGAAAGAGCAAGACATTTTGAAACATGCTTTACTGAAGCAAAATATCAGAAATGGATGGAGCCAGTAACTATTTCTTGGAGGAATCCAATAACTGAGCAATGCAGCATACATAATGTATGGACTTGAGAGCCCAGACTTCGTTGCATGCATTCAAAGGCAACATGGACATTACAATGCTTTTCAGAATAGGCCAAACAAGAATTGTGTAAGTCCTTATAGGCATGAAAGATGTATGACCATTCTGGAAAGTAAAGGAATATAATGACACATTTTGCCGTATTAGATGTGCAGATTTCACTCAGTCCCTTTAGGTGAGCCCCATTCAAAGTTTTTAGCAGAGATACTACATATGCATATACTTTCCAAATGTATTTTCCAATAGTCACCAAAATCTGGTATAATATGAATACAACCACAAGTACCAAAGTCAAATGGTGACCATGAGCTTATATATAGGAAACAATTAGAATGACAGAATAATTAAAGTGGATATAATACTACCTGACACTTCTCAACATAGGTATAACTAGATAGTCAAAGTAAATCCAAAATTCAAAATCAATGGAACCTTATTCTGGAGGCCCGTAGTGCTTCGGTGTGTGTTCCACCCACAGCCTGCATTCCACACAGCCTCTGAGGAAGTGCAACTACCTTCACGAAACATGTGATGTGGAGTATTGCAATGGGATTGAAGCTGAGGAAGCCTGTGTGAAATGCAGAGATAGGTGGAACACACAACAAACTCCTACAGATCTCCAGGCTCATTTTCCATCATCACAATCTCCAGCTTTTTTTATATAGTGCCGGCACAAGAGAGACTGAAGTATTAGGTGTTAGTCCCCAGTGAACACATAAGAATAACATCTCCTGAAAGGCAAACTTAACGCTTATATACTGCAAGTACTTTTAATCTTGCCTTTTAATAAAGTCACTATACAGTAGGCACTTCGGATGGCTTTTTTCTGTTTATAGATTTACAAGTGGAAAGTTGGGTGAGCCATTCCTGGAATGGAATACCGTATAAACACTACTTAAAGCTGCCGCACACCATCCCTCTGGGCTCCCCAAAGTCCTCTGCCAGTGCTGGGTTCCGCGATGGGAGTTCCGCTGCCACAAGATGTCAGCTGCCACTGCCCCTGTATACAGTATGTATAGGAGGAGATGTGGGTGGGTCTGGAGGTGCGGTTGGGAGTGTGATGTAGCCAAGCTGACACTGAGTCACAAAGTGTATTTTATAACCTCTGGAGGCTCTCTCTAATGTTTCCTGCTGCCATCTTTTTCCCAGGTAAACAATGAACACACCGAGCAATACACCTGATCTATAAGAAAATGGAGTTAATTAGACCAGGCAACCTTCTTCCATTGCTCCATTGTCCAGTTTTGACACTCATGCCCCCATTGCAGCCCCATACACAGCAAACTGCGATACATGCTGCCAGTGGCGGTCTAAAGGGGGGTGGAGAGGGCGGTCAGCCCCGGGTGCCACCAGGTAGGGCAAATGGGGGATGTGTGAGCTGCCAATGGGGGATGTGTGAGCTGCGCCCCATGGCAGCTGGGGTGCTACACAGCTCACACGGAGAGACCAGCAAGCTGAACTGGCGGCACGGAAGGAAGAAGGGACAGGACTATGTACATTTGGGGCGGAGCCAATCCGCAAGCTGGGGCGGGCTTAACACGGCCCTTACCCACTGCTGTTACTGCTGCACATGGAGGTGCAGAAAGAAGGAATCCCTGCTCCTCCACCTAGCAGGCTCCAGGGAAGGACTTCAGTGAATCCACTCCTCCTCCAGCCCACACTGTCTGTAAGTAAGAGTGTGTGTGTTTGTGTGTGTAACTGTCTGCCTGTAACTGTGTGCATGTATGTGTAACTGCCTGTAACTGTGTGTGTGTAACTGTCTGCCTGTAACTGTGTCTGTGTGTGTAACTATGTGAGTGTAACTGTCTGCCTGTAACTGTGTGTATGTGTGTGTAACTGTCTGCCTGTAACTGTGTGTGTGACTGTCTGTCTGTAACTGTGTGTGTGTGTGTACCTGTCTGACTGTGACTGTGTGTGACAGTCTGCCTGTGTGTGTGTGACTGTCTGCATGTGACTGTGTGCGTGATTGCCTGTAACTGACTGTGTTTGTAACTTTCTGCCTATAACCGTGTGTGACTGTCTGTAAATGTGTTTGTGTGACTATCTGCCTGTGACTGTGTGATGCTGCCTGTAACTGTGTGTGTGGCTGTAACTATGTGTATGACTGTCGGTCTGTGACTGTGTGTGTGACTATATGTGACTGTCTGCCTGTAACAGTGTGTGTTACTGCTTGTAACTGATTGTGTGTGTGTAACTCCTCTCCAACTGTAACTGTGTGTATGACTGCCTGTGACTATATATGTGACTGTCTGCATGTGACTATGTGCATGTGACTGCTTGTAACGGTGTGGGACTGTCTGCCTGTAACTGTGTGTGAGGGGGTGCAGGGGTTTTAAAAAGTTAACAAATTTGTGCAATACATTTTAAAAAATTTAAAAAAAGAACACATTTAAAAATTTTTGTAGGTGTTTTTTTTGGAGGGTGGGGGTTGGGTGCCAAACCGAGGACCCACCCTGGGTGCCACATGCTCTAGGTATGCCCCTGCACGGTGTGTTCTGACACCTTTCTATTATGGCCAGTATTAAGTTCTTCAGCAATTTTAGTTACAGTAGCTGTTCTGTGTGTTTGGACTAGATCGCCTAGCCTTTCGCTCCATGTGCATTAATGAGCCTTGGGTTACCATAATCCTGACATGGTTTCACCACTTGTCCTTCCTTGCATCACTTTTGCTAGGTTCTAACTACTGCATACCAGGAGCACCCCACAAGACTTGTCGCTTTGGAGGTGCTCTAGCCATCACTATTTGGCCCTTGTCAGAGTCTCTCAGATCTTTTCGCTTTCAACGCATGAAATTCAAGAACTGACTGTTCACTTGCTGTCTTATAGATCCCATTCCTCGACAGGTGCCAGTGTAATGATATAATCAATATTATTTACTTCACCTGTCAGTGGTTTTAATGTTTTGCCTGATCAGTATATCAGGATTTGTGACTGTAGTGATGTGTGTACCAGGTATATAATATGTACTTTATCATTGTACTTTATTTTATTTCCTATACTTTTTTTTTTCTTTTTTTTCCTTTTCATTTTCCCTTTATTTTCCCTTTTCATTCTCCCAGTTTTATTCATCTACTCATTCACTATTTATTCAATTGGATTTTTTTACAGCTATTCAGATTCATTTATAAAATTCCTTTAATATATTTTTAATGGTTTATGAATACCATTCAATATTCAATAACACAACAAGAAATGTTTTATTTATAAGCACTCTATGAGCACTATTCACAATTAGATTATGATATGTATTAATGCTTTTGTATTAATGTTCCACTCTGCTTTAATATAATTCTTGATATTCTTATCAGGACGTCTAGGAGGGTTATCTCTCCCTCCCCTCTCCGTCTGATTTGTCCCCCCTCCTGCCGGATGCCCGGTGTCCTCTGCTGCAGACCGGGGGGAGGAGCCTAGGACCACCCCGGCACGCCCTATGGGCGGGTGATGCCGATCTGGACATGTACTGCTCCTTCCCCCCGACCTGCACGCGAGGGGGACGGGCGTCATGACGAAAGGGGATAAGCACTTCCGGGCGGCGGCGGAGTGACGATCACGTGGGTCCGTTACGTCAGTTCCGCCAACCGCCCGGCCACAAACGGAGCACTTCCGCCAACCACCACACACCCACCAATGAAATGTGAGAGCAATAAAGGCGCCAAATATTATGCCCAATTAAAGACACACACACAGAATATACCACATTAAGGAAATACAACCATTATTGTGATTGGACAATATGAACTGAAGTCATTAAAGGGGAGGCCCTAGAAATCATTTAAAATGGAAGATCTTGAGGACTAAACATTACAGCTAACTGAGGAAGCTCCACAGGAAAGATTGAAACGCGTATTGGCTATTTCAAAAGGACATTTTATTAAGGACTTTTTTACAACCATTGTTTTTATTTTTGTTTTATACTTAAATAAATTTGTTACTTTTTATTCAAGACCCTTTTAAAGTCCTCTTTTTGGAAACCTCAAGAGTATCTTCCTAGGGGTAGTACCATCCCCACTCAAATTGGTACAACACCCATATACCTAGAGGCGGGACCCACAGGCTCAGGACCAGGTGAGCACATTACTTATTTTTATAAATACTGTGTTCTACAAACACCAACTACACATTAGTCTGCTTCTCAAAACTTTTTTGTCTTTGAGAAACATCCCATACTAAAGGAGACGTGCGGTGCTACCCAATATAAGCACACAAGTCCAAATACGGAGCCAGTGTTCTCATATACAGGCTCCTAAAAATGTGAGTGTTCCATTTATTAAGACATCATTACTTAAATTTTAATATAATTTTATTGTCTTAAAACCATCTGCACTATATTATACCTTTTATATTTCTCTTTTGACAAGTACCCTATATTTTAATACTGTATGAGAAACCAGTTGGTAAGTGTAACGGAGCTCCTTGTACTCCGACTGAGTACCCTCCGTTGACGGATGCTCCTAGTGCTTCCTGAGGACTCCAAGCGCTGCAGCAGACACCACAACCACCGCAGACTCCGCAACCTGACTGGAGTCTCGCCGTCTTCCTTCCACCCTGGATCAGCTTCTGTCCTCCAGGACTGTGTGGGAAAGAACTCTTCCTTCCACCCTGTATGAACCTCCAGCATCCAGGACTGTGTGGTAAAGACCCCTCCTCCAAGGAGAGCGTGTCAGGAACAAGCTCTTAAAAGAGCTAAGTGACTCAAGCTCAGGGGAGCATGCAGAGTATAGCAATCCCCAGTGTGATTATAACAGCTCCCTCCAATAACGAGACAAGGCTACGTTTAGAGGGATCAAGAAGAACTGTCAAAACCTTTATTTCCCTTGGGACCAGCCAATAGGGTCACCACAATAACATTGTTGTGAAACCTCAATAAAATCACAAACAGTCAAACCATATCAAGCAACACACAGTGACTTATCACAACACAATGGCACATTTTAAAAGGGGTGGGGGGAGACAATATTTAACAATAAATATCTCACCTGCCTGCAAAATTAGCAATATGCAAATCTACCCGAATATGCAAATGAACCAGTCTTGCAATTCAGGTAGTGCATATTGCTGTTGCTACCAACAGAGGGCACTAGACAAGCTCCATAGCCAAACCCACCTAGTTGGTAGCAAACCTCAGCAATACAAGAGAGCAGGCAATACATTACACAGTACACACACACACTATAAACAATTACATAACACACACCCTGCACCTATAATGGGTACAGGGTGACTAAAACATAAGATAAATAAAGCAGCCTACATAAATAGTCTGTCTGAAGGTAGACTAGGGGCTTTAAAGCCAGATACATGAAAGAGTCATAGTCACAGGGGAAGAGGCTGGCAAGTAGGCCTCTCCAGGACCAAGTGGTGAAGGGCACTTCGTCACATATCTCCCCTTCGGGGGGAAGACTAACCAGGCACCTGACTTTCTGTCGGTCAGTGCCTAAGTTAGTCGAGTCACCCACCGACCATAAGCAAGTGCCAGAGTAGCCCACCCACAACAAACAGTTATTAGAGCAGCCCACCCACAGCAAACAGTGACTGCACCTGGGTATTCCTCTGGGGTGATGGGGCAACACACTGTGGGGACTTGAGGGGCAGAGGCCAGCGGCACTCTGCCCTGATGCCAGTGCTTCTGCTGGGAGGAGGGGGGTGCAGGCCAGTCCTGTGACAAGGGGATCGGTAGGGCAGAGGCCAGCGGCGGTCTGCCCTGATGCCAGCTCTTCCGCTGGGTGGCTTGGGACATAGTCTGGCTCAGTAGCCAGGGGAATGTGGGGGTCAGTGGGGGTTAACCTTGGTAGGGTAAGCTGCCGCTGGGGAGATAGGGTGCTGTGCTCCTCTCCCTGAAACACAGGCTGCTGCTGGAGAGGGAGACCGCCTGTCTCCACTCCCATAACATTGTCCTGCTGCTGGAGAGAGAGACCAACTGTCTCTGCTCCCTGTAGGACACACTGCTGCTGGGGAGGAAGGACGACACCTTCGGCTCCCTGTAACTTTCACTGCCGCTGGGGAGGAAGGACGACACCTTCAGCTCCCTGTAAATTGCACTGCCGCTGGAGACTAGGTGTCCATATCCTCAACCTCCACAGTTGTCGCTCAAAGGCCATTGCCGCACTGTTCTCAGCACTCAACTGGCGCATTACTTGGTGGACCACCTCGTTCGAAAGGTCTGGGCCATAGCAGACCAACCGCCTCTTTACCTCCTCAATGTAAGCGTCGTCCTCGTAGCGACGTATCATGTTGAGGTGCTCTTCGCAGGGCTCTATCCATCCCTGCTCCATGCTGCTGTAGTTAGGGACGCTGCACAGTGGCTAGCGTTGCCCTCAATAACCTCTCATACGATACCAGTGTCTCCGAGCTGCTTCTCCTCGCACTAGGACGCCATCCCACCGCTGCCACCAATGTAACGGAGCTCCTTGTACTCCGACTGAGTACCCTCCGTTGACGGATGCTCCTAGCGCTTCCTGAGGACAGAAACTGATCCAGGGTGGAAGGAAGACGGCGAGACTCCAGTCAAGATACGGCGGTTGCGGAGTCTGCGGTGGTTGTGGTGTCTGCTGCAGTGCTTGCAGTCCTCAGGAA